ATCGGAAAAGACTATTATGAGAGGTTAGTGTTAATTTTAATTATACTTAAGATAGAGTGGTGCGATCAGGGGTAGTGGGCCAGACGCACATTGGATTAGGTGGAGTTGCTAAGGGGATGGGTGTGGCATGATGGCAGCTGGGAGAAAGTCATAGGTATGATGTTTTAGAGGGGTTAGTTTGGGGTCATTAGTAGTAGTGGCGGGCGAGTGCAGTCGAGACACTAGTCAGGATCACCACGAGTTAGGGGTGGGAAGCAGATACACACACATGTGTGTGGTGTGTGATAGTATATACTATATGCTTTATACTACATACAATAACTGAATCTTTGTCACCAGGGATGGAGATAGTAGGCTGCGGTTGTAAATTGCGCGAGATCGGAATGATGGGCGAGCTAAATAATCGGTTGGAGCATGTAAGCCAGATGGGATTGAGGGGATAGAATGCTTTTTGTGAGTCGCGGTATCAGATCAAGACAACAGATGGTGAACAGGATGATACATTGTCCTAATTCCAGGTCTGGTTAATTGTCAATTATTTTCAGTCTAAACTAATTTCTGTGTTTGTTCTTTGCCTCTTTTGGGGATGTGAGCTGGTGTTTATGCAAGAACAACAGGTCCTCCTCGCTATCTGGCACACACAAGGCTAGAGATGACGATGCTAGAGGGCAATGGCGAGGAGGCTGTGCAGCAATGGTCATGGTTGTAATCAGCATTTTGGGAGCCAAGGCAAGGCGGGATTCACTTTTGAGGTTTAGGAGTTTGAGACCAGGCCGAGGGGCAACATGGCGAGCGCAATCCTCAACCTCTACAGTATTAAATAATTAGTGGGCCATGGTCCGGTGATATGTGCCTATGAGGTCGCAGCTACATAGAGGCGAGACATGCGAGAATGACTTGAGCCAGGAGTGAGGGTTGCAGTGAGCGGAGATCGTGCCACTGCACTCCAGCCGGGTCTGCGAGCTGTGTCTCAAAAAAAAAAAAAAAGTTGAAATTTCAAAAATAGACATTTTTACAGACGTGGGTTGAGTGGCTAGCGCGCTGTAATGCCCAAAGCACTCGTTGGGAAGACCCAGACGGGAGATCGCTGGAGCCCAGACTGTTAAAGCTGCAGTGGGTAACATCGACTCGAGACATGCACTCAGCCCTGGGCAACAGAGCAGAGACTCTGACTCAAAAATCAATAATAATAATTAAAGACAAGTATCAGGCAATGGTATGCCAGCTAGAAACACAGGCATCCTGACCTAACGGCCCAACGCAAAGAGGAAAAGTCACCCTTAAGCACATGTGCCTAATACTCTCAGACAAAAAGGTTTGTATTATTTATTTATTTTTAATTTTATTATTATTTTTTTTTGGAGACGGAGTCTTCGCTCTGTCGCCCAGGTGGAGTGCTGTGGCCGTATCTCAGCTCACTTTGGGGCCACCGCCCCAGCTCCGCCTCCCCGGAGTTCACGCCATTTCGCTGGTTCTGCCTCAGCCTCCCCGTAGCTCTGGGACTGACAGGCGCCGCCCACACGTGCCGCCGTCACTCCGCGCGAGATGTGGGCTCCTCCGCGCCTGCTCTTAAGACGGGTAGGCCGGCAGGGAAGGAGCGATGAAGTGTGGTCTGTCGGGGCTGCCCTGGACCACCACCTGTGGTTTTATTTTTTGAATTTATTTTTTTTTACACCGAACATGCCCGAGGAGGGAGCGTTTCATACCCTCCTTGTGGCTGCGCCCTGGCGCCGCAGGGTCTGATATTGTTAAATAGCCCAGCGGAGTAGGTGCTCCGATCTGTTCGCCGGAACGCAGGCCTTGGAGGCTCTGGGATGTCTTCCGCCGGGCGGCCGCGACTCTCATATTATACAGGACTCAGCGGTGCCGGTGAGGTTTCTAAGGAGCCGGTGTTAATGCGGTCGTGCGTTTGGAGGCGGCGCGTGCGCGGGGGGGCAGGCCGGGCACGAGGTCGGCGGGCGGGGTGGAGGCGCCGGGCGGAAGTTTCCTCGGCCTCCCTGGGCGTCCGGAGCCAATATGTGGCGTGGGATTACAGTGGGAGCGCTTGCCGAGCGGAACGGAAGGGAATTATGGTCAAACCGGGTTGGGTGCCGCGGGTTGGGAAGGTGAGGGGGGACTACGGATGGCCGGTGGGACCGGAGACAGCCCGCCCAAGGCAGATTTTCATTTATTATTAATAAATATTACAAGGCTTAACAAGTTGCCTAGGCAGCGATGGCAGCTGGGCGTGATCTCAGCTCACTGGACAAAAATCTCGCCTGGGTTTCCGGCATTTTTTGCCTCAGCATCAACGAGTAGGCGGGAGACGGAAACAACAAAACAAAAAACCACGCAAGCCTGGCTATATATTTAACGGGACGGGGTTTCTCATCCATTTGTCAGACTAGAGAACTCAGAACATCCCTGACCTCCAAGTGTTATGATACGCCCGCCCTCAGCCTCCAAACCAACTGAGAGACGGTGATTACGAGCAAAAAAGATAAGAGAGGAGACACAAAACACATATGTTCCTGGAACCAGACCAATAATAGAATTTTATTAATTCCAACCCATTTGTAGCAGATGAGGAAAAAAAATATGAGAAACTTTTAAGAGTTAAAAAACGTTGCTTAAGTTTTGGCAGGCTCGAGCCCAGGTTGGAGAGAAAGTTCTGTGTGGGAGCAGCCCCAAGGCCAAGAAAGCCTTCTCCAAGAAAAAACGACTAGATCAAAAAAAACCCCCTATCCTGTCCCAGCACACCATGGGGATAATCCAATTCTTGTCCGCCAAGGCCATGGTGGCTCCACGGCCTGTAATCCCGGGCAGTTTGGGAGCCGCCTGAGGCCCGGGGCGTACACCCGCTGAGGTCAAGGAGTTCCGAGACCAGTCTGACAAACACTGGAGAAACCCCACGTCCCGACCTAAAAAAATACAAAATTAGCCAGGCCGTGGTGGTGGCATGCCCCGTAATCCAGGCTAGCTCGAGGAGGGCTGAGGCAGAAGAATCGCTTGAACGCCGGGAGGCGGAGACTGGCAGTGAGCTGAGATCAACGCCACTGCCATCCGGCCTAGGCCAAGCAGAAGCAACTCCATCTTAAAAAATACAAAAATCCTGGGCCGGGCCGCGGTGGCTCAAGCCTGTCAATCCCAGCACATTTGGGGAGGCCGAGAATGGGCGCGGATCACGAGCGGTCAGGAGATCGAGACCGCATCACTGGCTATACAAGGTGAAACCCCCGTCTCTACTAAAAAAAAAATAACAAAAAACAACTAAGGGCCGGCCGAGGTGGCGGGCGCGCTGTATCCCCCAAGCTACTGGGGAGGGGCTGCAGCAGGAAGAATGGGCGTGAACCCGGAGGCGGAGCTTGCAGTGAGCTGAGATCCCGCCACAGGCACCTCGCAGGCCCCTGGGCGACAGAGCGAGGAAACTCCGTCTCAAAAAAAATAATAAAAAATAAAAAAATAAATAAATAAATAAAAACTTTGTCTGAAAAGTATTAGCACATGCTAAACTTTTCCCCTTTGGTGCCCGTTAGTCAGGATGCCTGTGTTTCTAAGCTGCATACCATTGCCTTGATACTGTCTTAATTATTATTATTATTTTTGAGTCCAGAGTCTTGGCTTCTGTTGCCAGGCTGGAGTGCATGTCTCCATCATGGTACTGGGGCTCAACATCCTGGCTCGCAACCGTCCTCCCGCTGGGTCTCCCCAAGAGTGGCTGGCATTACAAGGCGCTAAGCCACTATACCCAGTCTGAAAAGTTTGCTTATTTTTGAAATTTTTTTCCAATTTTTTTTTTTTTTTTTTTTGAGACAGCAAGTTCGGCAGTTTTAGCGCCAGGCTGGAGTTGCAGTGGGCACGATCTGCCGCTCACCCTGCAACCCTTCCATGCCCAACTGGGGGTCTAGGGTGGGGAACATGGAGGTTCTGGTTCACTACTGACCCAGGAGGTGGGGGCGGCGGCATTGGTGGCAGCAGAAAGCCCAGCAGGTGGGCAGTGGGTACAAAGGTCCGGTAGGTGGCCAGGAAGGCGGGCACAAAGCTGGGGTCCTGCTCACGGTCTCCAGACACCAACTCTCCCACCAGCCGCTCCAGGCGCGCCGCCCTCAGCACCCTCACCTTGCTGGTTCGATAGTGGAGGAAGGTGTTGGCAATGGGGCTGGGGGCCTGCAGGAGGGGAGAGGCGGCCATGAGAGAGCAGCAGTTGTCCTCGCAGCACTCCTTCTCTAATCACATTAATCACTATCACCACTCTTTTTCTTTTCTTTTTTTTTTTTTTGAAACGGAGTCTCGCTCTGTCGCCCAGGCTGGAGTGCAGTGGCGTGATCTCAGCTCACTGCAAGCTCCGCCTCCCGGATTCACACCATTCTCCTGCCTCAGGCTCCCCAGCAGCTGAGACTACAGGCGTGTGCCACCATGCCCAGCTAATTTTTTTTTTTTTTTTTGTATTTTTAGTAGAGACAGGGTTTTGCCATGTTCGCCAGGCTGGTCTCTAACTCCTGACCTCCAGTGATCCACCTGCCTCTGCCTTCCAAAGTGCTGGGATTACAGGAGTGAACCACCAAGCCCGGCTTGACTCCCAGTCTTTTATTACCCAACCTGCAATTTTCAAAACCCCAGGCCAACTGCTAACCTTTGACCTCTGGGATTTCCCTCCCAGCACTCCCCTATCCAGATGAAGGACCCACCTCAGGTTCTTGTTGAAGCTCAGATCTTGTACCGCTGTCTTCTTGATCTCTACCCTGGGAAGAAGTCCCCCAGCAGGTGAAGAAGGGGGAAGCTAGAGGGGGCTTAGGAAGAGGGCCCTGGGTTTGGGAGGTGTTTCCTGGTTCCACATCTGAGGAGGTGGAGGGGGCTGCCCAACTGGGGGTCTAGGGTGGGGAACATGGAGGTTCTGGTTCAGACGGGGGTTCTCCATGTTTGTCAGACTGGTCTCGAACTCCTGACCTCAGGTGATACGCCCGCCTCAGCCTCCCAAACTGCGGGATTACAGGCGTGAGCCACCATGCCTGGCCGACAAAGAATTATTATCCCCATTGTACAGATGAGGAAATTGAGACTTAGAGTTAAAAACCTTGCTTAAGTTTTGCAGCTCTGAGAGGGGAGAGAAAGTCTGTGTGGGAAGAAGCAGGCAAGAAAGGCCTTCTCAGAACACGACTAGATCCAAAAACCCCTCACCTGTCCACACCTGAGGTGGCTCCTCTTCCTGCTCTCGCTTAGCCTCCTCCAAAAAATCTTCCAGAAGCTTCTCTGCTTTTCGAGCCTCAGCGCTCCCTGGGGCCGCCCAGCCCAGAAAGGTTCGGACACTGCCCAGGTCTGAGTGGGCAGGGGGGTCTCGGAAATCCTGAGGGTGGTCCTGCAGCCAGGAGCCCAGCACTGACACCACAGCCCTGGCCAGAGAGGCAGGGTCTCAGAACTGGGTCCAGAGTAGGGGACCTAGAATTTGACTCCTGGTACGTTTTTTTTGAGACAGAGTCTCACTGTGTCACCAAAGCTGCAGTGCAGTCTCCTGGGTTCAGGCAATCCTCCTGCCTCAGCCTCCAAGTAGCTGAAACTACAGGTGCACACCACCATGCCCAGCTAATTTTTATAGACAGGGTTTCACCATGTTGGTCAGACTGGTCTCGAACTCCTGACCTCAAGTAATCTGCCCACCTTGGCCTCTCAAAGTCTCCCAAAGGGCTGGGATTACAGGCGTGAACCACAGTGCCCAGCCCCTAGCACCACTATTTTTTTTTTTTTTTTTTTTTGAGACAGAGTCTCACTCTGTCACCTAGGCTGGAGTGCAGTGGCATGATCTTGGCTCACTGAAACTTCTGCCTCCTGGGTTCAAGCAATTCTCTGCCTCAGCCTCCCAAGTAGCTGGGATTACAGGCACCCGCCACCACGCCCAGCTAATTTTTTTTTATTTTTAGTAGAGACGGTGTTTCACCATCTTGGCCAGATTGGTCTTGAACTCCTGACCTCATGATCCACCCGCCTCGGCCTCCCAAAGTGCTGGGATTACAGGCGTGAGCCACCACGCCCAGCCCCTAGCACCACTCTTGCGTGTGATTCCTCTGACTCCCGGCTTCTTGGAGTTATTGTTTCGGTTTTTTTTTTTAGAGACAGGGTCTTGTTTTGTTGCCCAGGCTGGGGTGCAGTGGCACAATCATAGCTCCCTGCAGCCTCCAACTCCTAGACTCAAGTGTTCCTCCTGCCCCAGCCTCCTGAGTAGCTGGGGCCACTGCTGGGCATCACCACCCACAGCTAATTTTTTTATTTTTATTTTTATATAGAGAGAATCTTGCTGTGTTGTCCAGGCTGGTCTCGAATTCCTGGCCTCCTGCCTTGGTCTCTCAAAGCTCAGGGATTATAGGTGTGTGCCCCACACCCTGCCCGCTTGAAGTTACTATTCCTCCCCATCCACAAATATCTCCTGCAACCTGCCCTGGAAACCCTCCCTCTCACATGCCCTGTCCCCTACTCCCTCCCTCCGCCCCCACACATACACTCTTGTCCACCCTGGGCTTCCCTCAGCCCTCCTGTCGCGCTTCACTGGCTACCCCACCCGCCCTCACCCAGCCACTTCTAAACCAACCCCTTTCCACCTTCCAGCCCCGGCCCTCTAAACCTGCCTTTCCTAACCCTGTTGTCCAATTCTGTCCTTACCAAGTTGTCCCCAGGCTCCTCTCGGGAACTGCGCGGCCATCACCTGGCCCCACCCGATTCCCTGGATCTTCCCCCACTTACCTGGCCGCCCCCAGGCCTCTTTCTACCTGGTCGCCTCACCTGGTCGCCTCACCTGGTCGCCTCTGAGCCCCTTCCTTCCTTCCGCCCACTGCATCTGGCGGCCTGTGCTCGGCTCTCCGGCTCCGCCCTCACCTGGTCGCTTCCGGCCCCGCGCCACCCACCAAACCCCCTCCTCACCTGGCTGCCCCCGGTGCCCTCCGCCGGGCTCAAGCGCTGACTGCGCTGTCGCCGCAGGGAGACACTGTACACCGCGCCGTCCTCGGTCTCTTCCCCCCAGTCCTGCAGCGGTGCCTAGACGCAGAGGCGGACTCAGGGCACCAAAGGGGCGCGGGTCCTGGGGCCTCAGCCTCCTTGGCGGCTTGGACTCGGGCTGAGTCTTGCTGCTCCATCCCCACGCCCCTTCCCAGCCAGAAGCTGCGAGACTTGGGCTGGGGTCCCAGGCTAGTACCCTCCTAGCCGCGGGTCCCCTCCTCCCAGGTCCTGAGGACATGTGGTAGCATTTGGGGATGTCCCAGGGTCCCGCCTCATAGAACCTGTCTCTAGCCCTTTCTGCCGACTGCTCTCAGAGACTCGCGCCCCTATCCCTAAGAGGGAAGTAGTCGCTTCACTGGGTCAAGGACCCTGAGTCCCCAGGAGGGGACTCCAGGGCAAGTTCAGATGGGAGCAAATAGCGTCCGACGGGAGGGCACTTGGAGTTTCTGGACCTGCGGGTCACCAGGAATGCGGGGTCCGGGGATCCCTTGTCCCCTTACCAGGGCCAGCTCTTTGCCTGCTGTGCGCTCCATGGCCGGCACCCGTCCCTCTCAGTGGCTCCGCTGAGTGAAACGGAAGGGCCGGCGGGTGGCGGGCAGTGACCGGGCGCTGGGGCCAGAGGGGCGGGGCGGCCGAGCTGCTGGGGCTGGGCGGGGCAGGCCCGACCCAGCTTCTGGGTGCCTCCAGCTGGACCCCGAGCGAGCCCAGGAGAGGTCCTGGCTCTTCCGCTGGGCGCCTATCTGTACCCAGGAGAAAGGACACATCTATCCCCAAGGGATCTTTTTTGTACCCCCAGATGTGGGGGAGTTCCTGTGTGGGGGCAGGTGAGTGTCCCCAGACCAGAGTCCTCTGTCCTCCAGTGGAAGAGGCTAGCTTGACCAAGTGTGAGGGCATCGCCCACTTTTTACTATTATTGTTATTATTTTGGGATGGAGTTTCGTTCTGTCACCCAGGCTGGAGTACAGTAGCTTGATCTCAGCTCACTGCAACCTCCGTCTCCCAGGTTCAAACGATTCTCTTGCCTCAGCCTCCCAAGTAGCTGGGATTACCGACGTGTGCCACCATGCCTGGCTAATTTTTGTATATTTTGTAGAGACGGGGTTTTGCCATGCTTGCCAGGCTGGTCTCAAAATCCTGGCCTCAAGAAATTCACCCGCTTCAGCCTTCCAAAATGCTGGGATTACAGGCGTGAACCATGGTGCCCAGCCTTATTATTTTTTAGAGACAGGGTCTCACTCCTGGTGCTGAGGCTGGAGTGCAGTGACTTGATCTTGGCTCACTGCAATCTCTGCCTCCTGTGTTCAATCTATTCTCCTGCCTCAGTCTCCCAAGTAGCTGGGACTACAGGCATGTGCCACCATGCTCAGTTGCTCAGTTGCTTTTTTTTTTTTGGTAAGAACTGGTTTTCACCATGTTGCCCAGGCTATTCTGGAACCCTTGGGCTCAATCGATACACCCAGCTCAGCCTCCCAAAGTGCTGGGAATACAGGTATGGGCCACTGCACCCGGCTCTTATCTTATTTATTGAGACAGGGTCTAGTTCTGTGGCCCAGGCTGGAGTGCAGTAGCATGATCATAGCTCACTGCAGCCTGAAGCTCCTGGACTCAAGTGATCCTCCAAACTCAGCCTCCTCAAATACTGGGATTACAGGCGTAAAACCACTACATCCGGCCATCTCCCATTTTTAAGCTCCATCTGCGTCACCAGCTGATGGGAGTCATCATAACCCAGGTTGGAGGAGGCAGCGTCTGTGGCCCTGGGTTTTCAGGAACAGCCATCTCTTGGGTGGTGCAGGGTCAAAAAGAGATGAATGCCAGGGGCGTGGTCAGTAACCTTTATTGCGCAACTCTGAGGCCGGGGCAGACCCGGCTGGGGAGATTTACTGTGGGAACGTCTGGCCCGGCCCCTTCCTCCCCTCCGGGCGCCGCTGGCCGCCTCCGCTCCCTGTCCGGGCCGCGTTCAGCCCTTGAAGGGGCCCCGTGGGGCCTGCGCTAGACCCAGAGGGATCGGGGGCACCGATGGGGGCCGCCAGGTGGGTGTCAGGGCGACTCTAGGACCTCCGAGAGCGATGGTGCTTCTTGTAGCTTTCGATTAATTTCTGGGAACGGATCTTTAGCGATGCGCGGGTCACTACCTGGTTGTCCTCCTCCTCACTCTCTTCATCTACGGCGGTGGGGGGCGGTGTGGGGGGATGAGCAGGGAGCGATGAGGGATCCAGGTCCCCATCCCTGGTACCCCTTCCCTTTACCACCCCACTCCACCCCCACCTTGGCCTTGAGCAAGGTATGGGACAACCTCCTGTTCCCCAGCTTGGGGCCCTAACCGCACCCCTTCATCCCCCCACCCATACTGACCAAAAAACTTGTCCTTGGGAGTGGCAAGGGGCAGCGTGATGCGGGTGTTGTATTCGGGCAGCCTTCCCTCTAAGCTGGCGAGGAACTAAGCGGGGATGGGAAGTGAGAGAGGAAGGTGGGAGGGACCAGGGGCCACCGAGAAATCACATTCCCCCTCCTCCCTACCCCATTCGGAGATATGCCCTGGTTCCAACTGGAGACCATTGCCCACTTCCATCCTTCCTTCAGCAGGCACCTTGATACCCAGCTTCGCCTCCTCATCACTCAGGTCCGCCCCTGGTCTCTGGGGCCCTGCTATAGGCCTCTCCCCATCCCGATCCCCCAGCCGCGTCCTCTAGCCTCCCGGGATCCGCCCGCACCTCGTCTGGTTTCTTCCCTCGTGGCTCGGGCTCACCCCTAGCTCCTCAAATCTCACCCGTTGTGTCCCCGAGACCCCTTCCTGGCTGATCAGCCTGCACTCTGGTCTCTCCAAGTGGCCCCCAGTTCCCTGGTTTTCCGACCCAGCCCCACTACTAGAGCTCTGGAGCTCTGCCCCAGGGCTGCAGGGCACCTCGCGGTCAGCGATGTGGCGCAGCATCTCCTGCACGTCGTGGCTCCCGAGCTGCGCCTGCAATTTCAGCAGCTTTTCCTCCACGAGGCCCAGCAGGCTTGGCAGATAGTTATCTGCCTGGGGATCCAGCTCCTTCCCCACGAAGCGGCCATCCTCCTGTGGCCAAGGTAGAGCCGGGTCAGCCGAGAGGGGTGGGGCCTATTGGAAGGCGCCACCCAGGGGCGGGGCTTTTCTCTCGGGAGTTGGGCCTAGGAGCTAAGGGCCCACCTACAGGGGGCCATCCTAGCCATTGTGGGCGGGGACTTAGATCAAGGCCGGGTCTGCGATGGGGGAGTCTCTGAACTCTAGCTCTATATGAAAAGGTTTCGGGGAGGCCTCTTGGGAACAGTAAGGATTCCAGGGAGACCATTGTGGGATGGCCTCCTAAAGAAATGGGCCTCTGCTGCGGGCAGGATAGGGCGTCTGTCTCGGGTTGCTCCAGAATTGCAGATAGGTCTCCGAGGTTTTCTGGGGCAGGGTGGGACTTCTTTCCCTTGGAGGCGGAGCTTGAGAGGGGACTGAAGTCTTGGGCTTCCTTGGGCAGTGAGAGCTTCCCCAGGGAGGTGGGGCGGGGAATGGGGTGGGGCTTCCCCTGTGGGCGGGGCCTCTGACGTTCGGGACAGAGGATGTGGCAGGCCATGTTCTCCAGGGCAAGCGGGTGTGGCAGGAACCCCCGCTTTGTGGCTGCGCCTCTTTGGTCCCGTAAGGGCCTGGTGGGGCTTCCCCCGGGCGGGGCCTACCACAGTGATGTGGACCAGCTTGCTGGCCAGGTGCTCCAGGCTGTCCTTGGCCACTTGCATCGCCCGCAAGGCGCGCTCCAGCTGGTCCTGGGCCTCGGCGTGCCGCTGCTCCTCCTTCTTGAGACGCTCCTGCGCCTCGGCTTGCAGTTTCTGCTGGCTGGAGGGAGCCGGGAGGTCACCCCGGGGGCTCAGCCCGCCCCGCCGCCCTCCCCAGGGCCCTGGCGCCTCACCTCACCAGCGTGGCCTCCCCTGAGTACTTGAGGTCTTCCAGCTCCCGCTGAAGTTGTTGCTTCTCCTGCTTCAGCCTCACCAACGTCTGCTCGTTCTCGCTCTTGAGCGTCTCCAACTGCGCGAAGGTGTCGCCCTGGGCCACGAACCGCCGCACCAACGACTGTGGGCCACCCAGCCCCAGTCAGAGCCAGGGCCTAGAGAGGCGCAGGGGCGCTCCACCTCCTCTCCCCCACCCTGCGTCCCATCGCACGCAGGACAGGTGGCCTGAGCTGGCGTCTTTTGCACAGCAATGTATGGGGACACTGTGGGTTGGACTCAGGGTGGCTTCAAGGATGAGCAGCCCTGGATATATCATTTTTGCGGGGCCCTTTCTAGCCTATATAAGGAATTTGAGTCAGCTCAAATTCGGGGACAGCTGGACAGGCGAGCATAGTTTCTTTCCAAAAATCAACGTGCCATCAATTTCTGGCCGCGAATCTCGCCTGATCCCACAGGAAATACCTCCCTTCTTCGGAGCCATCTGCTCACAAGGCCCACATCTGGAAAGGGGCTGCGCCTCAGTGCCCCAGATGACCCCATAGGTGTCCTCCAATAGGTGGGAGTCCCGGAACTCCTCAGGGGTCGGCCCCATGGGGGGAGCAGCAGGTTGGCGGGCACCCAGAGGGGAGAAACAGGGTTGGGGTCCAGTGTTCACTGGCGGGAACCAGGACCCAAAGGGGACACATTGGTCTTAGAATAATGCAAAGAAGATGCTGTAAAGTGAGGGACCCGGTGCAGGGACCCCACTTGCCAGGATCTGAGCGGTCTACTGGGTCACAGACCATGTTACAGACACTGGAGACAGAATAAGAGAGGAAACTCTCAGTTCTCCTAGAGCTGGCACGGCAAAGGAATTAGCACGGTTCAAGAGAGAACGGAAGGCGAGTGTAGAAATGACAGTGAGTGTGGACAGCTCCTGGGGGTTTTGCTGTGAAGGGCAGCAGGAAAACTGAACGGTAGCTGGAGGGGGAAGGGATGTTTTTCAAGAAAGGAGTAGGTTTGTGAGCTGAAGAACTGACCTGGCAGAGAGGGGAGGCAGGGTATGCCGGTTTCACCAGCCTGGGCACCCCTGGGGCCCGTCTGGGGTGGACGGGGCAGGGCGGAGAGGGCTGCGGGCAGAACTCACGTGCGTCTTGGCAGTGCCAGTGGCGTCCTTGACCTTGCCAAAGATCACCTCCATCTGGTACATGCTCCCGCGCTGCCGCAGCTCCTCCTCCTTGGCATGCAGGCTGTCCTGGATGGTGTCCTCAGACTGTAGCAGTAGGTGCTCGCGGTGCGTCTGCTCATGGGTTGAGGTCAGAGCCAGGGTCAGCCCGTGGACAGCGCTTAGGGTGGAGGCCGGGGACGGGGATCCAGACCGGGGCCCAGGAGGGAACAGAGCTCAAACTGGAGAGAAGGGAGAGCACAAAAGCTTGGGGCCAGATAAAGGCACCCGGGCAGAAAGTGGGACAAGGTCGAGCGCGGTGGTGGTGGCTGTGATTCACGCCTTTCATTCCAGTACTTTAGTACTTTAGGAGGCTGAGGCCGGAGGATCATTTGAGCCCAGGGGTTCGCGACCAGCTGGGGCAACATGGCGAAACCCCATCTCTACAAAAAATGCAAAAATTAGCAGGGCGTGGTAGGGCGCCTGTAGTCCCAGCTA